CTTAGTGTGTAGCAATAACAGAACTTAAGAGAATGTAAGCGAAAGAGAACTGCATTCGCAATCTGACTGAGAGGCACGTTATTCTGTGAGTGCGCTTTTGGTGTGTGAGCACAGAAACCCGTCTGCTTTCAAATACTGGACAAGACTTAAAAACACATGCAAATACTGGATATCACTTTTGTGATAATGCATTGAGTCAGTGACATTTCCGTCAACTGTCCCTGGACTCGGTTGGACTCTGACATATTTTGTCCGAAAGGCTCGAGTCCGAGTCAAGTCAGAGTAAAAATGCATCCGAAAAACTGTACTCGAGACCGGACTCGAGTCCGAGTACCCCAACTCTAGTAGGTGCTATTCCAATAAGACAAGTAAAATGATAGATTAAAAAACAATAAAATGTATATATCACTTTAAAAAATATTGGTACAGACCAGTTATCAATTGATCTGTTTAGATGCTTCCATGTGTTGTCTAATCATAAGATCTTTTGACTTCCACCTGATCCATTTCAGTTGCTTTCAGACTAGGATAATGCTCATTTAATTATTTTTGTCTGCCGTATGTATTAATTTATAAGAATATTACAGAAGCCCTGCTGTAATCTTTCATCTGGTAGTTTGTCAAATTCACATGAGACCAGCATATTTCTCACCTCCGTTCTAAACAAGGGGTAATTGCTTGTCTGGTTAGCATGATCTCTTTCAGTAAATGCCATAACTTCAAATAATACAAGTATTGATGCAATATTTTGAAGAAAAAAAAATTACGAGTGATTGTATCTGCACAGCCTTATGATGGTATTTAATTTAATGTTAGCAAATGAGACATTGATAAATTAAAATAAAAAAAAATGTGCAGCTTGTTTCAAGTGAGTTCTGCCTTTTTTCTTGGTTAGTACACTGGAACATATATTTTTAAATTTTTTATTTATCAGGGTTCGATAATAAGGACTGCCCAGGGCCAGTATGAAAGACGCTCTGGACAGTTGACGGATTTGTCACTGGCCCGATCAGGCCACCGATCAGGCAACATTCAAGCGATATTAAAGGGGTCATATGATGCGATTTCAATTTTTCCTTTCTCTTTGTAGTGTTACAAGCTCTTGGTGCATAAAGAAGATCTGTAAAGTTGCAAAAAATGATTCGCGGGACTCCCACAAAATAGAAATGATCTAAACATAGTGTCTAAAACATAAAAATTTTTATTTATCTGTTGCACTAAAGCAAAAAGAACAACTAATATTAACATTAAAATGATTAACGCGCAAGCTAGACATAGCCTAGTTTCCATTTATAATGTAGCCAGTCACAGACTCGGCTGTTGATTTCTGGAACGCAATGGCCAATCAGAGGTGATCAAGTTAGAATTTTTTCATTGCCACTGATGATTTAAACGTGAGTTTTGGGCAGTAGAGCAGCACTTGTTGTTTTGTCATTTCTCCGATCACAAATGCAGACAGAGTTTTACGTTTATCGCAACATGTAAAAAGACAGTATAAGTCATTATAATCAGTAATTATGTTCCCACTTGATGCAACAAATGCCTCGTTTGTAAGGGGTTTTAATGTTTATGTCTCGTTGCTCCGGCCGGACACTGCATCAACAGTATGTGAGGGGCGTAACATTTCCGTCTCACGCTTGAGGTATTCGGCCAATCACAACGCATTGGATAGCTGGCCAATCACAGCACACCTCGCTTTTTCAGACCGATGAGCTTTGTAAAAATCGACGCGTTTCAAAAAGGCGGGGCATAGAGGAGAAACAATAATGTACAGTATGTGGAAAATGTGTTTTTTGAACTTTAAACCACATAAACACATTTCATTACACCAAATACACAAAATAATGTTCTTTTTAGCAGCATCATATGACCCCCTTTTTAAACCATTCAAGCGAAGGAAGACAAGAAATAACTCTAAGTACTTGTATGCCGTTTACAGTGCAAACAGCATGCACACAGAGAGCCGCATCTCTGACAACGTGCAAACACTGAATATAATTCCTTTTCATGCCTTTTTGCGTTTGAACGGACAAATAAAATTGTATAAATAACCATCTTGCCTATTATCCTCGAAAACTGTTGGTTATGTCTTAAACAGTTGAGAAAGAAATCGGGTGTGTAAGTTTATATTGAATCCATGCTTTGTATCTTAAAGTGACCCAGACTAATTTACCAGCTGCTGTCAGTGTCCTTAATGTTAATCCAACAAAAAAACTAATCAAAAATCACTCACTGCTCTTGGCTGAATAACTTTTGTAGAGAATTAATCTATATTTCACTTATACAGTGAATACTATGCAATGTTATTTTCCATTTGATTATTCATGTACCTAAACACCTACAAACCTGAAAAACTCTGTTTTATTGTATTTATTTGTGCTATTGATTGTAATTTGTTTATTTTATTATTGACTGTTCACTTGCCTTTAATAATGTTTTAACTTTATATTTGTTATTGAAGTGACGTGTGACTTGTGGCCAAGTATGGTGACCCATACTCTGAATTTGTGCTCTGCATTTAACCCATCCAAGTGCGCACACACAGTAGTTAACACACACACACCATGAACACATGAACACACCGGAGCAGTGGGCAGCCATTTTTTGCTGCATTGCCCGGGGAGCAGTTGGGTGTTCAGTGCCTCGCTCAAGGGTCTCAATCGTGGTATTGAAGGTGAAAGAGAGCTCTGGTTATTCACTCCCCCCACCAACAATTCCTGCCGGACCTGAGACTCGAACCGGCTACCTTTGGGTTACAAGTCCGACTCTCTAACCATTGTAAAACTTAACTGATATCTAAAATGTTGATGTCATATATGTCTATTTATTGGAGTACAATATAACATGGGTCAAAAACAATGACAACAACAACTATCTAATTTTTTTTGTGTCGGTGCAAGTAAAACCTTGAACTAGAAAAAATCTTTAGCGTTGTGCTCAGTTTATTTTTCCTTTTCTCACCATGAATATAGCCATGGTAAGCTGGAATGGCGTTAAATTTTAAACAAACACACACTAGGACTTTAATATTTTGAACTTGTGCTTGACATTGGAGGTCATGATAGTCTTTGTTAGCTCTTAAAATATAATATCAGTTGACTTCTAGTACTTATGTTAGACACAAAGTTTAGTTTAAAGGGATGGTTCATTGCAATTTCACTTTTTTAATGACAGTTAGTGTAATTTTGTCTTCTAATGATTCTAATGGATTCACAAGTTTCAAAATCAATGTTCTAAAGCAGAGGTTCTTAATACTGTTCCTCGCGTCCCCCTGCTTTGCATCTCTCTCTCTCTCTCTCTCTCATATTAATTTCAGCTCCAACAATGAACTGTTACAATTATACACTTATTTTCACATAGCTATGAGAAGCGTTAAATATGGACGTGCGTGCAGCTGCCGTACTGCATTAAAGCTTTAATCAGGATAAAACTGTATATTAAAAGCTAACATAAGCAGTAGCATTTACAAATAACAGCGTATCTAAAAGTATGAGACAACAACAAACAAAAACATAGGCCTACCATTAAAAGCCGTGCTTGCACAGGTTCTGCACGATCCTCTTCAATAATATCCTCTGCTTCTCAATCGGGCTCAAACTGATAAGCGATGTTAACGACGCCTTTGTTTACAATACAACCGGAGCACATGCCGCTGAGGTGAAGGGCGGGGCGTTTATCACTAGAGACAGTTGAGACAATCACAACACACTGGGCTAGCTAACCAATCAGAGCCCATCGCCTATTTCTGAGGGAGGGGCTTCATAAAAGAAGGAAATGATCGGCACGTTTCTCAGAGAACGGACAGAGCAGTGTGGAATAAAGGTAAATTATGTGAAAAATCTTTTATTATTTTTTTTAAAACGAAGCATTAACACGTTACACTGCACCCCATAAACACAATCAAGCCTAGAAAAAAAACTGTGAACCACCCGTTTAATATGTGAGTTAAGCAAACTGTCTTTCTGTCAGATGTTTGAGCTGGCCAAAGTATTGTGGGTTTCATCCAGCACACCCCCGCTCCATGGCCCTCAGCCTCTCTTTGGACCTTTATATGCAGTCTTAGTTGAATTATTATCCTATGACTTCAAAAGACTTTCATCAGAGCAGCTGTTATGGTCCACTGATTGTTCAGACTGCCTTTGATGACGATTAGTGAGGTTTAGCTGTGTTCATGCTGTGTGGAGGAAACAGCCTATCCACTCCATCCTTACATGGAAAGAATGTGATTTCAGTAATGATGCCATACTTGAGTGGGCAAGGTAAATATGTTTTGTTGTTTGAATGTGTCTATTTGTGTCCTAGGGAAACAAATGAAGGAAAAGGAGAATGAAAGTGTTTCACTGGTTGTTGAGGACTGACATGCATAAAGTTGCATAATTTGAATTATTTGGAGTTGCAGCTGTTTTTTTGTGAGCCGAGAGGTGTGGTCATACACTATATCTAATCTTGTTTGCATGCAAGCTTTTTTTTTTTCCAGACAGAGCGACTGGAAGTCGTTTGCTTCTGACATGTTCCTAATCACATCTGAGTTTTAGTTCTACATTACATCTGGCCATTTTCCCTCTCGGTGGCCCCAGCTTGGCATCTCATCACCTTTTCTACACTGCCTTTACCACTTTACCATTAAAGGAAGAAAATTCTCCTCTTTGCATGCCGATCAATCCTGCAAAAGCAGAAATGGACCAAAGCTTTTGAGCAACAGCACCTATGAACCTTTCCAAATAACACTGGATGAGATTAGTGTTCCTTGAGTGCACACAGCCTAGCCACTGTTTGGATTCGGCCCCAACACAGAACTTCAGAAGACCTGTGCTTGGCTGCATGTGTGTTTACTATATGAAAACCAGTTGCATGGTTTCCACGTGACACCTTTTTTACACAAAAGGGATTGTCATGTATGTATTATTCATTCAGAACAGATCCCACTTGGTTGTAGCAGCATTTGGAGAAGAGATTAAATTGTTGATTTAATGAATGTTCGTTCAAGGTCGGGTGGAGTTAATGTTTTTTTTCGCTGATCAATGGTACATGGCATGCTTTGTACATAAAGCTGTTCAGACCACAACTCTGATTTATTTGCTTTAAAAGCCAGTGGTGGTTAACTATTATCTTAACTTTTCCTACACAGTAACATAAATGCACATTCTGTCCTGTTATATAACAGACTTGGGTTTTGATGTCATAAAAGCAAATTTCGTTCCCCACCATCCTCTTTCCTGTTGTAGATTTGAGGCATCCAGATCAATGTGGGCCTGCTGACATGGGTTAAATCTTTGTAGGCCCAGAGGCTCTGCAGGCCTCAGTCCTGGCTCTAGACTGCACACTTCCATCCAGAACCCACAGCTGCTTTGTGTTTAAGAGGTCATGCTTGCAAATCCCCCACCTGGGCTACGATCCAGGATGCTCTCCACCCCTCACACACAAGCTAACACATATCAATACGTAGAGACCTACTCATTCTCTTGTCTTATCTTGTTTTTAGAGCACTGAGGAGTCTGGTGAAGAGACCCTGCCATGCGTGAATACAAGCTTGTGGTGTTGGGCTCTGGCGGCGTGGGCAAATCAGCCCTGGTAAGTGCAGTATACCATGTCATCTTCACCAAACCTCAGAGCAGCTGGACTCCAGTGCTCAGCCAAGCAATGATGTGATCCACCGTAATGATCAGTAGATAGATGATCAGTAAACCATGGCTTTGGTTTTCTCTGATTGTCATTTGGTTCTATAGCTGTAAAATCAGGATACCGGCTCAACATTGTGATGTCTGTCAGCCATTTGCATTGGACGATGGATGCGTCTATCGGCCCAACCCTAGTTGTATCTGTTAACATTAGTTAATGTACCATGAACTAACATAAACATTTTTATTAACAAATATTAATAAATACTATAAAAATATATTGTTCATTGTTAGTTCATGTCAATGCAAGATATTTAAAGTGTACTGAATATAGTTGTATACTTGTAGTATACAAGTATACTTGCAATAATTCCACTTTAGAGACGATCAAATATACTTCAGTATAGAGCTGCACAATTCTGGATAAATTGAGAAACACGATTTTTTTTTTGTCTCAAATAGAGATCACGATTCTGAACAAAATAATGTGTGGCAAAATATTATTGCTGCAGTCTATTTAAAAGTGTTTAATTAATTTGAATGAGTTATTAAACATTTTAATATACACTACCAGTCAAAAGATTTTGAACAGTAAGATTTTTAATGTTTTTTAAAGAATTCTCTTCTGCTCACCAAGCCTACATACAGCAAAAGCAGTAATACTGTAAAATTATTTTACCATTTAAAATAACTGCTTTCTATTTGAATACATTTTAAAATGTAATTTATTCCTGTGATCAAAGATGAATTTTCAGCATCATTACTCCAGTCTTCAGAGTCACATGTTCCTTCAGAAAGCATTCTAATATGCTGACTTGCTGTTCAAGAAACATTTTATTATTATTATTATTATCAATATTTAAAACACGAGTAATTTTTCTCAGCATTCATCTGAAATAAAAAGTTTTTGTAACATTATACATGCTACCATTCAAAAGCTTGGA